TGAAAGAAATGAAAGAAGAGGGAAAACGGTGTTGTAGTAGCAGTGATGATGAACATGGAGATAGCCATCGACGACTTCTTCTTCTTCTTCTCAAAGCAAAATGGTTATGCAACAATAATCGGTGAACATGGTGACAACCACCTCCGATGATGCTTCCCTCTCATCTTCTTCTACTTCTTCTTCCTCTTCTTCTTTTAACTTCTCAACTTTACATAATTGCCTCCTTCTTATAGTCTCACACTCCCTTTTATAATAATGTCTATATATAGTGGACTTTAACCTAATCATAATCTAACAGTCAAAATAAAAAGTTACATTGTATTTTACATCTTACCGAATTGACCCACTCAAACTGAACGGTTGAACCCCTAACTCGGAAATCAGAAGCCAAAGTAGTTTCATTTCTGGGTCAATTTTTAAAACCTTGATTTTAGTCAAAAGAAAGTTCGATAATTTTATTCATATTTGTATTTTTATATTTTATTAGTTTTTATTTATTTATTTATGACATTAAAGGTTAATACATTTGACCCAAAGTTGAACTTTTTATTATTATTTTTTATATTTCATTTTTGGTCAGTTCTAAATTATGTATTTCATTTTCATGATGAATAAAAATAATTCTTGTTTATTACACTTATTTTTTTAATTTGATTAATAAAAATATAATAAATGTGTTTAATTTTTCTACATTATTTGTAAATTTTTATATTTATTTTTATTTTAAAATTTTTATTACCTAACAATGACTTCATAGGTTGATCAATTTGATTTGGATGTTTGAATTTCTTAGCTACCACTTGGATAAAAAATAGTTTTGTTTTTAGTCAGTTTTAAAATATATGGGTTTATATTGTTAAAAATATTGACCTAAATCAAATTAGTTAATTTATTAGTAAAAATAACTTAAAAATATATAAAATTTAATAAGAGAAAATCGGATTTAATACCTTAAGTATAAGACTTAATGAGAGGTGATTAAATGAGGTGGAAAGAAATAATTGAAGTTACACTTTCAACCCTTACAATTAGAGATGGATTAATTACAAAAATATGACCATTATAGAAGCCATTCAAGCTGGCATTAAAACTATAATAAATGACTTTTATACCCTTCTCAAACAAAGAAATAGAGGGTAATTTTAGTCTAAAAAATCTTCAAACAACTTTCACACTTTTATATATAGTAAAGATAAGCATTATCCTCTTAAGAGAATAGGTGCTCTATACCCAGAACCATGCCTAGTTTCGGTCCAAATCACATGACAACTTAACTAATCTTATTTGTAATGGTCCTTTGACCCATTTTCTTCAAAAGCTCACATCCCTAGGTGTTGTATGGCCACTTTGGGCCTAATGTTGTATGTTGTGGAACCTCACAAAGGTCTCACACAAGTCCATGAGGGTTCAGCCCCACCTTTGAAAGAGGTTAGGCCGTATTCACTGCTCATGGGCTCAGTTTGGCCCAACATTTACCTAAATTATCCTTGGATTCAACCACCTTATGAAGACCCAAGGATAATGGACTTATGTGAGATAAATCCCATCAGGTAATCAAACCTATATTGGTCTTTACACTAAACATCTCCGCCCATAATGATCATAACACTACCGATAGGGAAGGACCTCTTCCTTGGCTTTAGCTTGTTATGTTTTTGCGTGCACAAAGCCCATGCAACTACATATAATTGAGCTTCTCTCCTACATTCATGACAATTGTTGCATTTGATTCTCTATTTGCTAGAAATGGGGAAAAGGAAAGTGGAAGAAACTCATTTAGGCGGAAAGAGGGAGGAGGAGAAAAATAGAAGATGAAGAAAGAGAAGAGGATGGATGAGGGCAGCAATTTTTCACTCAACAATGGTAGTTGATAGCTATACATATAACCCTAGCAAGTGCACTAGTTATCAAGTAGTATAAAAATATCGTTCCCACGGGGATTTAACAAAATAACTATTAGAACTACAGCCTTCCCTAATTATTTGGACAATCGAATTTCAGATTTAAGAGTAA